GAAAGCCAGCTGACCAGTTGTGTATTGTTTCCAAAATATGTTTTCGATTGTTTACATGTCGTGTCATTTTTAGCCTGCGTGGCAGGCGTTCGAAATCTTAAAAACCTTTTACTTATGAATCAGAAAATATATGAACATGATGGCTGGGTCTTTGTTTGCTATCAATACTGAGGGATATTGTACTGTAACGCCCTCCCAGCGTTTAGTTTGCGTGACGCATCATGTAATGTTATCGATATTGAAATCATGTGCAGAACATTCGGAAGCATGATTGTAGTTTTGTTTCCGATTTGCACCTTCGCTCGAGGCAAAGGTTCGCTCGAAACCATGATTTACCTTACAGTCTCTGACTGTCGTCACGGTTTTAGGTCTACGTTAAAGTTATCTTAGTTCCTTACTCGACTAAACGGACCGTACTTTGGATTGTGTCAGACGTATGGTTACTTCAACCGAACACCGCGGTCTCCTTGCGCCCCTTTTGACGGCAAAAGGCGGTCGCTCAGAGTAGACCTTGCTGGAGCCAAATCGGAATTTTAATTTGGCTATCGGAAGGGCCAAATTGAGAGGAAGTGCCAAAGTAGCTTTTAGTGTAGCCGATTCAGAAATTAGATGGGCCGAATTGGTACCATCTAGAACTGTTTTGACTCTTTCTGTCCAAAACGGCCCAGCATGTTCCAAATCGGCCCTCGAGAAATTGGGGCCGATTTGGCCTTTGGGGTCGATTTGACTCTTTTCATTTTACAATGAAGTTACGCTTTCGCTGTCAAAGGACTTTGTGCATTATTTTCTGCTTTCAAGATCAGGTCAGGTACGCAGTTTGATGGCTGCACTGACCCGTCTACGCTCTGTAGAGACAAATGTCACACTTACCTGCCCCTCCCCCAAATCGTTCGTTTGTAATCTCCCAGATTCTGGGAGACACGTGACCAGCGTTTTCCAGGGTCTCTCTCTCTCTCTTGCTCCGTAGGGCGGGTAGGAGAGAACCCTGGGAGCGAGGTTACTCAGTTTCATATTTCGCCATTCGCTTTTTGTGAGACGTGATTGCGTACATAAAAGTTTTGATTTGAATATACATGTAAAGCTTCTTAAAACTTCAGAAACCTCCAAGAGCTTCTGATCTTTGAAAGTAATATATAGTCTCGTTCAATTCAATCTGCTTTTGAAACATTGCACAATTTTTCATAACGGTAGTTGCAGTCGCGTGCTAGGCAAGGAAAAAGTTCACACGTATCAAGTTCTATCGCGAAAAAAAAAACAAGCCCAATTTTACGAGAGATTAACTCGAACTTTAAAGAACTCGCTATATTTCCTACTAGAATAAAAGGTATTGATTCTCGAAAGTTTTCAAGGATTGCGAACGCAATTTCAGAGCCCAAGATTGGTCATGTTAATTACATCAGATGTGTTTGTTATCGCTGATGGCCAGATAAGCCCAGAATCATTTGACGTTACAAAATAGACATGATGTTATTTATATACACTGTTTGTTTGCATTTGGAGCATGCATTTGAAACCGTACTTAAAGAAATGAAGCTTGATATAGATGTCCTTGAAGAAACATTCGCTTTATAACTTTAGTTGGTCTTGTTGTGAGCATACAGTCGCTTGCACGAATAAACCATGCCATGTTGTGTTACAGCTGTATGTCTATGTAAAATTACCGTGAAATCAGTATTGGGTGAATCTTTCGTTTTCTGTCTTGCAAAACTCGATCGTCGACGCGATTCTCGGTGGGCTAAGCTTGTTCTCGATTTTATATCTGTTATACATAGAGATACCAGGGGTAGGGAAAACAAAGCGAAAACAAGCATTAAACAGTGCATAACAAAAGTGAAAGCTAGTTTCAAAAACACGCTTTCAGACTAGTTAACGATTTTGCGTTAATGCAGAAAACGTGCATGTGTTTTGTGTGTCCGTTGGTCGCTTATCTCTGAGCTGTACTGTATTAGTGGTGTGTTAGGGTTAAGAAGAAAAGCATTTCTCTCCTCTGGGCACTAAACCCTATATTCATGTAAATTCTTCGAAAAAACATTCTATTGTAATGACCTCCAACACACCAATATGACTGCCTTGTCACGTGGTTGCAAGCCAAGAATAGAGAGTTTTGAAAACTTGCTGGCCTAAAGTTCATTCTTTTTTCCTGTTATTTTTGATAAAAATGTAATGCTTGGGGACAAATTTGTTTACATGAAACAGTGATGTTGTTATTTTCAAGTAATATTTTTTCACTTACACTAGGTTCTACTGAGAATAAGGACTTGTCATGGGCATTATGTACAACTAAAACTTTGCTTGACTGTCCAACCTAGGTGGTGTCTTGGTGGGACATAATAATGTCCTTTCAAGAGAAAAAAAAATGTTAGAGGCCCTGTACAATGTTTTTAAGGAAATTAGGACAAACACAGCATACACAGTTTGTTCTTGGAAATCATACATTGCAAGCTCAACCTACAGATTAGTTAGTTATCTGCTGGCAGATAGACCTTTCCCACATTCCTGTAAACAAAGGGACCAACTCGAGGCATGGGTGGACAAAACACACTTGATTTGTATGAAATTGTCCACCCGAGCCTCGTCCTCATTTCTTTACGTTTGCTCAATAGAGCATAATGCTGGAAAGGCCTATTAGTGACTAATCTGTAGGTTGTGTGCACACAGGGGTGTGGGGGAACGAAGTCACTTCCCATACATTCTCTTACATTGTAAATGAAATGGAAATGATGTTCTCACAACTTGCAAAGCAATCATCAAGGGTCTTGCCAGCAGTTTTGTGTACTGATGATGTGCATTACATCATAAACCAAAGGTACGATGTAAGCAGTTTTAAGAAGGAACAAAATCATGGCGGTCGAAGGCGGGATTGTTTCTCACTATTAAATTTCATTTATTTTGGTAAATTGCAACTTTACTGATTTTATGTCACTTTTCAGACATAGTGTATGTTCTGCTCTTTCTTTTTTCTCTTTGTAGAGTTTGGAATATGCAACATATAGCCTGTGAACAGGCTCTCTGTTTGGGGAAAGGGCAAAAAAGTTGGAGGAGAGGGAAGGGAAAGGCGGAATGCGCGCCCTTACCAAAATTAGAGCACTGATAGTATACTTTTTGTAGACAAATAGTATACACCGTATGTATTACATTGCCATGGTGTACATTTTTAGTATACATCAAATATACATCAAGCAAGATTTGGCTTAGCAAAAAAAAATGATGTATACTCTTTGTATACATCACTTGCATTTAAGTAGCAATGATGTATACAACAAGTATACCTCAGGACTTTAAAGCAGCAATGACGTATACAACAAGTATACCTCAAGGCCTTCAAAAAGCACTGATGTGTACAATAAGTATACATCAGTGCTGCATTGATGCCAAGTTGTATAAAAAACATCTTCATTGATTAGGAAGTAAAGCTTTGATGTATACTTTTTGTATACTTTGTATAGCATAAACAGTTTATATATAACAACATATAAATATATAGTATATGTTGTAGTTCAACTTTTCCCTGGTTTAAATTTCACATACATTACCATGCCCAAACAAAAGAAAAATTAAATTAAAGCAGGAACAAAAGTAGAAAAAACAACACATATGTTGATTGAATTGAAGGGTTACCAAAAATAATTTCAGTGAAACAAACTCTAGAATACTGTTTTACATGTACCTGATTAGAGAATCTCTGAGAAATTCCAAATGCTGATGAAAGGAATACGTTTGAACAACAAGAACTGGACAAACAAGACATATCTCTAATAGATCTGTAAAACTGCAGTAATTTAAAATTATATATTTCGCTCTTTGCAACTCATCACTCACTGGCCAATGCTTATAAAATAATATTGTCCATTGTTCATGTAAGAATTAGCATTGTGAGAAATTCAGCAACAACATCAACATTTTTGGGACTGATATGTCATACACAATCTTCGTTAAGGGGTCAATGTCATGCAATTTCGAAAGATACACAACATTATTTTGCTATAATAAAAACATTAAAAGAAGCTAGTTTTAATAAAAAAATTATGTTTACGTGCCCTGACAGGAAAAGATGGCAGCTTTTAATAAATGGCACACATTTTCTTTTCTCTCTCAAAAATTCACTTGAAACCTACCCATTCGTGTTGCAGGATCATAATTTTGCATGTTACATGTATCTGTGACGGTGCTCTGATGGTGCTACCATGCACTTACAGTTGCAAAAAAACCACTCAAACGCTTTTAGTCTTTTTTTCGTACTGATTAGGAAACATTCCCACAAAGGGAGTATTGTCATTACCACAGTCAACAAAAAGCATAATCGAATAATGTTGTCCACTGGAATTGCAGTGATACAATTATTGTCACTCCTGATGACTGGAACCAGGTGAGAAACAGCAGTACCAGTGTAGGGATCATTAGCAATTGCTAAAGTCTTGTTAGGTTTCAGAACTTTGACCAATGCATAAAACAGTGGCTTCCTACATTTACATGAGTTAGCACAAAATGAAGGGTTGGGGCAATGTAAATATATTTTGGAATAGAACAAAATCTGTCCAAATGAAGGTGGTGAATCCCCACTGTTGCCTTTAAATTCTATTGTAAAGTTGTTTCTCCTTGTCATGCTTTTGTATAACTTGGAGTGAATCAGTTGCTCTCCAATGAGTAATCTGAAAACTGATACACTTCTTGAACTGGCCCAATTAGGGATTCGACTACAGCTCGCTCAACAGCAGTAAAGACATAATTTTGTAAGTTGCCCACGATGCTGCAGTTGCTGTTGCCTGGAAGTTTTTCCTTTTTGGAAGCAAGGGGACGCTTTCTTGAAAGGTGTTCATAAAGTTCTTGAGCCATAGATCCACTTTCGAGGAGAGGAACCAACTCAGGTATTCTCTGTTGCACACTGACAGCTGTCACAATCTGTTCTTCCACACTTTGTGTACCATGAAATAAGCTTCTTAATTCCCCATTGAAGTCTTCAAAGCAAAAACAAGAGTGAGTCCACAGTGGACCAAGATCTCTCACTTTTCTGTCATGTGAAGTAAACAGTGCACATTAAAAGTTTCATAGCGGGCTGCATAAAGTTCCTTTATCCTGATACAGAAATGCTTTATTAAAGCAGAGGCCTTTACAATGTCATTCGGAGAGATAGAATCCTGGAGAAGAAGGTAAATGGCTTCCACAAGGTGAAGGTAGTGCTGAAAGTACTCTTCTGGAAGAATACCATACAGACATGGAACAGAGTAGAACAACAGGAAAGTCCTTAACTCAGATGCTTTGAGATGCCCAAAGTTTGCTATCAGGCTTCTGGGAAGGCGCGTGATGCAAGAAGGAGGACTAATCTTTAGGTACCTCTCTTCAATTTCTTTCATTCTTTTACAGACAGACCATGGCTCTGCTTTATATGTCTTGTCACTCCAAAGGGTAAGCAACATCTTAACCACGCCAAGTAATGTACTGTGCATATAGTCAATGGCTATTCCTCTAATGATGTCAAACTTTGGAATAAACATAAACCATGAATAGCCTTTAACCCCTTTAACACTACTTGGGATGCCCTTTTGAGCACTTTCCTTGGTAGCTTCAGCTGCAAACTTTAATGTCTGTTCATGTGTTCTTGGTTCCCCATGACCAGTTCTGAGATTTGCTTCATCAAATGGGTAAGCATGAGTGTGCCCTTTGCTACTTGTCTGCACAGTTTTGCCAGGGCTCAGGCAGTATGGGCAACCATAAAAGGCATTGAATTGACAAAACTCTTGGAAAAGGCACTTTGCTGGGGCATCAAATGTCCCTAAGAGTAAAATACAGCGAAGCAACATGTTCTTGCCATTCAGCTTTACATCAATCCCTATAAAAAGGAGCAAAAAAAATCCTGACTATTCAGATGTTGACCCATAGGGTAGAAATGAGGGCAGCAGAATTTCTATAGACTTCAAAGTTAATTGATAACAGATAACACATCAAAGCATTTTTGAAATTCATACATACATGTAGCTGCTAAATAATGATTGAAAATAATTTTCAATAATTTAAAGCACACATTTGTATCTACATGTATTATGCCAAATCTCCTTTAGTCAGAGTTGTAAGTTAAACCTGTGTATAACGGTCACCCTTGGGAAATGGCCAAGTGGCCGTTATATACAGGTTCTCTTTAAACTCTACTGGAAGTTAATGAATAGCATCTAAGTCTAAAGGGTGACTGCATCCGTTACAAGACACTAACAGGTGACCACTATATACAGGTCACCTTTACAGAAAATATAAAGCAAAGTTTTAGGGAAGTTGTCCGGTGAGTCACTCTATAGTGACTCAATTTCCTTTGTCCCCTTTTGTAAATTATATATAGTTCGGGGGAGTAATAATTATGTCAAACAGCAACAGTTGTACAATGTATTTATTATGAACATTCTGAACTAATAGTATACTAGAGAGTAGCTGTGACTACAGTGTGCATATATGTACATTAGAATGTAGCAGATAAATGCATGCTTTAAGGTAATACAAAAAATGGGGACTGATTTTAAAAACATAAACCTTACCTTTGAAGAATAAATCATTTAGTGAGTTTGCGAATGGCTGCATAAATGTTTGGAAATGTGGCTTGGAGACACCGAACCAAAGCCCAGCAAACATGCGGTACTTTCTCTGCTGCCTGTAGGGACAGAAAATAAAGGGAAAGAATGAAGTTTTTTAACAAAAAAAAAAAAAAATGTGAATATGTTTTTTTAATGAGAAAAAAAAGCAAAAGCGGTCCATTTCAAGATAGGTCAGTTACCAAGCAAAGAATGAGTTACAAACAATTTTACTAGTTAGCAATTCTGCAAATTATCAGTGCTCATTATGATGTGTTGCAGTTAGATTAAGTGATACTCTTCTCTCACAATTTCTTTTTCTCTTATTGGTTATTAACTGTGGAATTTTCTTTTGGTAGTGGCATCATGAAGGCAAGTAGATGCTTAAACTGTGTACTTCAGTTCCACAATTAATTTATTTACATGACTATACTTTTTACAACCATTGTTATTTTGGTTACTTTGGTTTGACATTCTTTAATCAATACTTCAAAAAAAAAAGAGAAATTATATATTATTTAGCAATACTATAGAAATGAAATACTCGGCTGGGGGGAGGTTTGAAGCTGTTTAAAACGCTTACAGCACATGTTTAATCAAGGGTAAAAATTCAAGCTTTTATTACATACCTGCAATTTGGAGGCAATTCGTTGACAATAAAATAAACCGGCCATATGGAAAATTTTGAAGACCTAAAAATTGCAACTCCATCCGTGTTTATTTGCAGGGACAAATGGATCTGTGTCTTTTTGTCCTGTGTGATGAACCCCTAAAAATCCGTCCTCCCAAAAGTGCTTCTTATACAGTTGTCCATCAAAGATATCTTCAATGGCATCTGAGTTTTGTTTTTGTCTTGTGACACGATACTGCAGAAAATCAGGTACTTCTGGCCCTAAGAAACAAAACAAATATTTGAAAACAATACATAAGAGTGAGAAAATAAATTTCACACAGAGGTTCTGTTTGACTGAGGCAAATGATAATATTTCCTGAATACATGTACATGTAACAAGACTGCAAAAATCTTTTCATTTAAATCTTGGAATTTTTCCTATTATTGATCACGAACTGCTAATGTTAACTGTCAATGCATTAACAAGTGATAACAACCAGTTACATATGTAACATTGTTTCAGTTTGATGAATGGTTAAAATACATGTATTGAGTGAATGCTTTAAGGCCTCTACAGACTAGATATTTAGTTGTCAAAAAACGTTTTTTTTTTTTTTTTTTGCGACAATGACAATGTTTAAGTTGTCAACAACAGCAAAATTTAGCATTTAGTTGTCAACAACCCGTCTTACACACTGCGTTTTTTTTGTTGTTGATAACATTTAGTTGTCGAAAACAAAACGTTGTCGACAACTAAATTTCTAGTCAGTGGAGGCCCCTTACAGTCACTTCATTCCATCAAAAGAGCCTGGGAAAACATGAAGTACAAAGAAAAGAAAAAGTGCACGATTCTTACACCGAGGTAAACCCAAAAGAACGAGAAATCCTTTGATGTGGGGCATTATTTAGTGACAGGGATACTTAACATGGTAGTGGATAAAGATAATGAGAAAATTCTTTGTTATTTAGTATCATTTAGTAACAGGTGGGACATCTACTTAGAACGAACTGACTTGGAAGAAGTGACCTGATACCAAAGGAATGATCTATACCTTAGCAGATAATCTACTTACTTGACAGCAATGACTGAAGCTGTGTGACTAAGGGTAGGACAATGAAGTAGGCCAGTGCACCTTTTTGGAAAAATCTACCAGACAATACTTGTTAGAACAGCAGGAGGTCTTTTGTAAGCCCAATGTACTCAAAACAGCAACAACAATAATAGTGGTACTCGATAGGCTTCTTAAGCTTTCGAAAGAATCGGTTGAGAACAGCTGTCGATTTAGCAAAGCAGTTGGGTACAACAAGATGAATGTTAATTAACGTCAAAAGGTCAGCCAAAGCCAGTCCGCTCAAATTATGCCTTATGGCGAAGCTAATAATCAGCAGCAAGCTAACTGAAAAAGTAACGGGGACCCCTCGTATAAAGGGGTGTCTTGTGATAAGGATAGCTCAGTAATTTTCACGTAGTCATCTTGAGTGCTGCTTTCATTCCTATCTTCCGCTTCCGAAAGTTCATCCACGTCATTATCTTGCTCGTTCAAATCCTCATGAAACTCGCTAGATCCGTACGTTGTATCAAGCGCTGGATCTTCAGGAAAACTTGCGAAATTTCATCACAGCTGTCTTGCTCAACTGCCGTGTTGTTCAGGCCCCTTTAACATTTCATCAGCGATGGAGTCTCTAGTTGGGCGGCCTTCTCTGTCATTTTCTACCTCAGCTGGCCGACCATCTTCTTTCAACAAATCAACATTATTACGGTCTTCCAGAGAGTATTCTTCGATCCCCTGAGATGCATATGAGTAGTCCAGGAACTCTGACTCAAAATGTTCAACAGTGTCGCTACAAGATACCGCATTCGTTTCTCTATCATAAGTTTTAGCTAGTTTCTGGCGATACTCTGACGTTCTGGGAACTTTCAACGACGGATGTGACAGATAAGACAGGTAAGTACCTCTTCTTTTTCACAACTTCTAGAGTTACGTGTTTTTTTGCATTTCCAGTCGCCATGTTGTGTTCGTATAAAAGCCGATCGACCCAGGCAGATATTACGCATGCTCAATACGTCGGCGTCTGTTTGTTTTCCTTTTGGCGGGATTTTTTGCGGCACGTTTGTCGGTGTATGTGTTAGATCTTGGCGCGAAACTTCAGTAGCTGTGAAACGTGAATTGCTTGGTTCATCAGACTCTTTTTCGACTGAACGTTTATTGTCGCTTCCCTTCACTCTCTTGTCTATTAATTGCTGATTTTCTGTCTGCAAGATTGTAAATGTAATCAGTTTTGCATGTGAAAAGGGGGTCGGTAGGCAACACTTGACTTTTACCTGGTGTCAAAATGCTGCTTATTCCAACGAGTTCTTTCACTGGTGGTAGATTATGCTCTGAAGCGTAAGTTTTGACTGAGCAAAATTGTGGTTTTCCCTCTCTTTTACAACTGAGAGGTCATGACATGCATACTGATTGTCTGAGGTTATTGTTGTCATTGTTTTTGGTCGGTGTGATTATGCCCTCTGATGCAAGAACATTTTATTTTAGCTCTTTTGAAATGTAAAGCTCTTTATTGTGGCTAAATATGCTTATCAGTGATGTGCCAGAAGATGCCATGTTAAAGATCAAAAGACCTGTCGGTGTTCTCGCCAATAGGAGCTTGCATCAGAATCTGATGCACAGTGGGTGCTGCGAAATAGCAGCCTCATACATACATGCCAACCCTCCCGGATATGACACCAATCTCCCGGTCTCCCGTATGGGTCGCTTTATCTCCCGGATAAAATCATCTTTTGAGCTTTTCTGTGTCTTAGTTTGAAATTTAGCCCATTTTTAGTTCAAAACTTGAATTTTTCTTATTCGTAATACTGTTTCTGAGGCATTTTACACCTATTTAGTCACTGACAAAGATTATTTCTGGCATCAATATAATGATCGCGAAATTTGATAGTATCTACTTCATGTAAGACTTTCCGGGGTAGGGGGCTAGTGAAAAACAGAGAGTCTCCAGATTTTAAATCTCTAGAGGTTGGCATCTCTGCTCATAGGTTTCTCTACTGGCTCTTCCCCTTCCCCTTCCCTTATGATTTTTTCAGCTTTTCCCCAAACAGAGAGCCTGTTGACAGGCTACAATCGGCGACAAAATGAGTTGAGACACTTCACCCAAAACTGGGCTTTTTTACGTTTTATTAACTTCAAAAGGAGGAAATATAGCTTTCCTCCCCCATCTCCTCCGTGCAATGTTGTGCCCTTGTTCTAGCTACCTGTAGAAAACAACAAACACCCCAACTTTGAATGGAGGGGACAGGGGAGGGGTGCGGATTCTTTTGTTCTCCGAAATTACCCTATTTAAGTACAATGTCTCAACACTTTAGTCGCCGATTGTATGCAACCTAGTACATGTATTAAATGATAGCTGAAACAATCGCCAAAGAGTTAAGATATTGATAAGTGTTTTGCTGCAAACCTAAGGAAAGTTAAGGCTGCTTTAATGTAAAGAGCTCTCAGCAATGGATGTAATTGTTTATTGGGCTCATTTTAATTTTGACTTTCAATTAAGGTGTTTACTGATTCCAATAAACGAAGGTAAATTAAATGTTATCACTGAATTGTGAATTTCTATAATCAGATGTATACTGCACAATGTAAGCTGATATTATAAAGTTCTCTTGAATAGATTTAATTCTGATAAATCTGGCACTTTCTCAGGTAATTGTCATCAGTATTACAACTACTGTAGTATTCTCTTCACCCGGAAAAATAAATGTATCTATAAACTTGATCAATTTGATCGATAGTGCAGCAAACATTATTTAATTGTTAGTGGTTAAGAATTTACACAATAATGCAGGTAGTGTTGCTTGAATTTTGCAAGGACAAGTAGGATATGCGAGAAAAACAAAGATATATGTTTTTTCAGCTATTGAATATTATTCTCGCTTTACTTTGTAATAAATTATCCACTGTCCACCACACAAGGTGACTGCTTTGCAAGTTGTGAAAATGTGTTTCAGTCCATATGGTGTACGATCCCACCAAAATTTATAGTTTGAATTTTAAATTCAACATTAGCTTTTAAACCCAACTCTTCTATTTGACCTTGCTGGCTGTGTATTTTCAACTCGCTTCATCAAATTACAGTTACATAGTAGAACCATACAATTTTCAACTCAATGCTGTGAATAAAACTATACACTTGACAAATTTTCCTTCATTGCTACTTTTTATAAGCTTGAATACCTGAGCCAGTACTTGGTACATTTTTCCACTTACCAAGTCATATTTCAAACTCGACCATGTATATTGTCAACAAAACTTCTGAATTTTTGTTCACAATTCAGTGCAGTCATTGATCAAGACCAGGGGGCCCCCCCCCCCCCCAGTAGAAGCCTTTGTTGGAGTGGGTGGCACTTTAGTCCATTTTGCTTTGCGCGCAAGTGATTACCTGCACCTTCTCACATGTGTAGTGTTCATTTCAATTGATCTGTGATCTGTAATGAAATTTTTGATTATTTGATTTTTGATGGTTTGATTTGATCAAAATCTCTGATTAACTGATCACAAAGTGGCCATAAAAAAAAAACAGTCCAAACACTGTTAAGCTCATTCAAAAGGTATTACCAAGGAAGGAAATTACATGCTCCAGTCAAAAAACTCATATTATCTTTAGAAAAACAATAAGCTTAAGTCTACTAAGTCACAATGCAATTATCCATAGTTGATGCACCTCATTCTTATAATTTTGGATCTGTAAATCACTATCTGTGATAATTTAATATCCAGCAAAGAAAACTACTAAACGAGTTAGGCCCAGCATGATACAACATTGCAGAAAAATATTACATTCATTCAAGGACTAGAGAAAATCGCTTAATTAAAATCAAATCCAGAAGGCACTTTAGAGAAAATTAGAACCCTTATTCAGCTGTAATAAAAAGCTTTATGCTTTAAAAGAGGTCAAAGAAAATGGTCTTGCATCAGAGGGCAAATCCTGCCAACCAGGAACAAAAACCACAGTAAATCAATATGTGTTCCACGATCTCTCAGTGTGAAACAAGCGGCTAAAATCACATTTGTTCAGTGAAATTGTAGAACCTTCCAGAGCATAATCAACCCAGCAGAGGAAAAAAACTTTAATATTGGAACAAGCAATATTTTGGTAAGACGTAAAAGTCATTTAGGCCTACCAACCAACCCCTCGTTTTTGTTGTGCGCTCAATAAACATGCCATGGTGGATCCCATGCCAGCCATGATAGAATGAGGTAAGGGACTTGTCAGAAATTAGCAGGGGGAGGGGGGGTGGGAATTTTAAATTTGGGTTCGGAAATGAGGTGACCCATCCCTGCAATGAGAGTGAAATTGTCTAACTCTCCCCTTGACCTTGGCCTACAATATCATGAACCTCCCCCTCTTGTATAAATGATAAAATCTAGTTCTTGCAATACACTAGGGTGAGTCAGTATTATGAAAGTTCAAAATATATTTCTAATCTCTTCTTTGTAATGCTAATACATACATTTGAGATGACAGCATTAAGAGTCCGACTCTGATTCTGACAGCTGATTACTCAACTCTCCTATTTCTCCCAGGTTTTTTTTTTACAAAATAAAGAACTTCTTTTTTCTTCTGTGGGTGAACCTCTACATGATCACGGACAAATATTTACTTGAACCTCCCTCTTTTAACAGCCCATTTTTCATGACCCCTCTCTTTTCTGCAGTTTCAAAAAGTTGTGAGTGACCCTCCCTCTGTTTCCACCCCCCCTCCCCCCTGCTAATTTCTGACAAGTCCCTAAATCCCACAATTTATAGTAGTGCGATTTGAATACTCCAGTCAATGGATAAATCTACCATGATCACCATACTGATAGGAATCTAAGCAAGTGCAAACTCTGCCGCCATGTTTGTGCAATATACGCTAAGCACGATGGACTAAAAAGCCACCCACCCGACAAAGGCTTCTATTGTCTTGACCCAGGGAGGCTCCCTGGTCTTGATCAATGATCACTGAAGTGTGAACGAAAATTCACAAGTTGTGTTGAAAATACACATGGTCGAGTTTGAAATATGACTCGATAAGTGGCAAAATACGCCGAGTATTGGTTCAAGTATTCAAGCTTATTAAAAGTAGCAAGAGAAAAATTTGTCTGGTGTATAGTTTTATTCACATTGCCGAGTTGAAAATTGCATGGTTCTACTATGTAATTTGACGAAGCGAGTGAAAAATACACAGCGAGCAAGGTTAAATAAAAGAGTTGAGTTTAAAAGCTAAGGGATGAGCATAAAAACGTTTTCTTCTAAAGGAAGAGTGTAAAATTTTGAATTCAGCTATAAAATTCAAGTACCGAGGTTAGAAATTTAAATGATAGGATCGTTAAGCCCGACTTTGTCTCTACCCCCCTGGTGCGCGCCAAGTATGATTTCTAAGAGGAA